TGATCATCTGTCCTAACAGAAATTTACAAGGCTCAGGAGCTTACTGCCAAATCAGCATGTGCTTTAGAAGAGTGATGTCATTTTCCCTGAAGCGTGACTGGCAGATTATTAGCATAACTTGCATACCTTTAAAAGAAGTCATCTGGAGCCACAGCACCAGTGGCATGAGGGGAAGAACCAGTATGGCAGGGAATTTTTTTTTAAAGCAATGACAGGTTGGCAAAAAGAAAAACACTTAAGCAAAAGTAAAGAGCATGGTCTGTTTGCACTGTTGCACACCTTGTTGCATCTGATAAGTTTTAGATTGGTTATTCCCACACTAGACATCCAAGGCAAAATGTGATGTCATGAATCCTTTATCAGTTCCTCTTTTTAAACAATTTCAAGTCTTCCCACTGTCTCCCTGTTAAGGATACCACTGATGTAACCAAATCAGTGATGACAATTTGGAGATTTGGCCTTTTTCATTAACCTAATGAAGTTTTTGATTATAAAAAGAATAAAGATAAACAGAAATTGAATAGCATGAATTTAAATCAGCTTCCAAAAAATCTTGATCTTTCTGCAAATGTTTAAATTTTACACCCCACAAAAATGTAATACCTTTGAACAGGTTAATCTGTCTTTCCCTCAGGGGTGGAGTGCTCTGCCGCATCTGGCGAGCCATCCAGCGGCACCGAGAGCGAGAGAGGCTGAGGAGCGACAGGTGTTCGGAAGAGGATGCGTAAAGGCACTCATGGACTACAACTGTGGAGGACTCTGTTCTGCAGAAACACGCACACGTACACACACTACCAGCCCTGCTTGGCCATGTTTCCTCGTCTTTCTCCACAGTGCCTTTTCATGCTGTACTCTCTAAGTTGTACTGTATGTACAGGACTGACTGAACGTTTACTGACGTGTGGGTACATGCAGTCAAACTTGACCAGATTTAAGCGCTTTAGTGCAGGCACTATGATGTATGTTTATGTGCACTGTATGTGTATGTGCCACAGTATGTGTTTGTGCTTGAGGGTTTTTAAGAAAAAAGCATCTTAGCAAATGCCAGATTCGAAAGGTAAACACAGGTTTTCACAGTGGAAAAAAGTATCAAACCTTCACTGTAACCTAATTGTCCTTATGTGCTGTCCATCTGTATGCTCAGAACATTATAAACCAGTGGTTATATTTTTGGGGCACTTGTGATCCCTTAAAATAAAGCAGTGTCTACTTGTGACCCTGAAACATTGTTAAAGCCTCAATGTGGACAGGAGTTCTGAGCAGTTCAACCAAAACTCATTTTTAATTTTTCTATCTTAATATGAAGGATTCTTAGAGGCTTGAAGAGATAAATGTTTCACAGGGGACAAAAAGTCCAAAGAATTAAGACATTGTAAAGAAAAGATAGAAACTGTGTTTATATGTTTATCACTGGTGCTCAGGGGGTTTAAAAATCATATTTTTGCCAAGATATACTTGAGTGTGTGAGCCATTATGTGCATTCAAGCACAGGCGCATATTACTGTCATATAAAATACTGAACACTAAAGCTAAAATATACAAAACCACTAGTAGGGTGTGGCAGAGTTATGACAGACCGTTCTGTCTCAGTATTGCTGTTTGGGTGGTTCCCTTGTCTTTCAGCCAAACTAAACCCACTATTTAAAAAAGTAAAGGAAAAATGCCTTAAATTCTCTTATTTCAGGTTGGATTTATGTGCAAAGGAGAAAAACAAACGCACATACTACCCACTATGTTCCACTTCTGTTTTACTCTAAGTCTTTGAATATTCATTTCACCTAAGAGCCTTATACTTTTAATTTCGTAAAGTTAATGTAGCCACACTGAACTCACTGAAACATGCGCACACATCATGACTACCAGCCCGTCACTGCCATAATATTTGTATGCGCTTTATTTATTAGTTCTACAAGATTTCCTTTATATTCTCAAGTAATTGTTTTATTCTCCTCTGTGTGTATCTGCACTTAAATGTTTTTGTATTCCCACTACTGTATGTGGTTGCTTCACAATTTCAATAAACCGGTAACAGAGCTGCTGTCAACTGTCAGTGAGGTATTTACAGTATGTGGGCAGCAATCAGGAGACAAAATGAAATCTGACCCTTTACAAAGCTTTCATCTTGCAAAGTCATTTCCACCTGCACCTGCAGTAGCCTATTTGCAAATTTAGGCTTACATCAATGCTTTTGCCTTTTGCCATTTTCAAACTTTGAAAACAGTCTTCAGGAAAAATGTAATTGTCACACTGGCCATTTACACAAGCATCTTCTCATTGCTCTTTTGCTAGGCTGTCTCATGTGAGACCCCCCCCCCGTGACCCCGTTTAGAGACAAAGCGGTTGAAAATGAATGAATGAAACCTGTTTGTCTGCTTGTGAAAAGTATGACCTCCTGTTCTCCAAGAGCTACTTGGATTTCACAATCTTGTGTGACAGCCTGCAAGTTGTGACTAAGCCTTTGACCATAGATCTTGAAGGAATATGTAGGAAAAATAGTTAATTTTGGGGAAATATTAATCAGAATTATAAGTAATGTAACAATTTGTCCAACAATATGGACAAATGGATATAGGTTCAAGATTTTTAAAGCTGGTCTTAAAACAGTTAAAACAGGACATATGTAGGCTGCATAAAAATAAACTTTTCATTAGTGATGTGTGGATTGATCCTGAATATTGATACTTCCAACCCAGACATTTCCTGTTCTAGGGTCGATTATCATAGTAAAAGACTGATAAACCCAGTATGCTCTGTAAATGTGTGAGCCACTGAGAATCAGAATAAGAAAACCCTCTCCACAGGAAAATAACTTTTTAAAAGTTGCTCAAGATTGTGGAAGTTGTACCCTATAATTTTAAAGAAATGCAATAGATCTACAACATTTACAAGAAATAGGTGCAGTCTGGAGTATCATGGTAATAGAGTAGATGCCACGCATTTAATAACCAAATAATAACCAAGGTGATTTGTGAATGCTTCTTGTGCATGTATTATGGACATTGTCCCATGGCTATAGTTGAAAATCTTGGCTACACAAACATTCTTTTACAGTAATCTGACCAGGGTTGCACCATTTGTTATTAGTAAAACCGGAAAGCGCGTATAAATCAGCCTTATATCTCCTCTTCTTCATCAATCTCTGCTGTTGGGACCATTTCTTTTCCTTCCTGTTCCTTGAACGAATTGCCGGTATTTGTATCGGCGATACTTGTATCGTATCGAAGGAAATAACGTGGTGCACATCACTACTTTTCATACTCCTACACCAACCCTGAAGGTTTGCCCCCATAACATTACTATGCTAAAAAAGAATAGGGCCAAAATACACAGGCCTCATTCTGTGCAAAAACGCACTCCAGTGACTTGTCTGAGGATCAAATGAAGCTTTTGTCCCACTATTTTTCAAAGTTACAATTTTTTAAGACAGATATCCCTTTATTGATTCCAGTGGCGGAGGGATACGTTCTATTGTAATAGTCGCCTGTATGTTTGCGGCACAGGAGTTCAAGGTGTGCTAGGAGTTAACTTGTAAACGAGATTACAAGTTTCACAGCTGGAGATTTTTTGTAGTTTGTGGTAGTTCGAAGCACTGAATCAATAGAAAGCAACTGTGTTGAAAATGGGTCACAGTATTTGAGTCACAAATGGCACAATTTGCTGGCCACACTCTTATGCATTTTGATACTGAGACCACGACGAAACCATTATTGTTATTCCGTTTAAAATATATCAGTAATATATACAAAGAAGGTTACGTGTATGTGGAGCCCATTTCCTCAGTAGAAATGGGAGAAACTGCGGGGCACAGCTGTGCCATCACCAAACCAGCTGACGACGAGGGGGTAAGTGGAAATAAATAGGCTACAGTACTTTATATGGCGTGTTGTTATTTCAAACAGTGGGTTCTAGTAATGTCAGTCAGCAGTCCACCTACAGTGTGACAATACAGGCAACATCCATTAACTTCCCATTCTGTGGAAAGCCCAGAGGCTGCTCCTGGGCGAGGTGTTTTTTTTTTTTTTTTTTTTTTGTTCTCATCCATCTGTGCCAAAACTTTCAGTACACAATACTTCACGGCACGGCCTACTGCCTCTAGACATGTAATCAATCATTGAAAGCCGATTTGTGCAATGTTGGTCTATTGTGTTACAATTAATATCTCCATCACAATGCTCTGGACTTTTTTTTTGTTCCTGCACCTGCATGTAAATAAGTTTGTGCGTCAAACATGAATTGCATTCAAATAGCCTGATTGACGCAACTTTTATTGTGACAGTGACAACGCTCAAATGGCATTTTAATTCTATTAATACATGCTTAAAGCTATAAACAACATTTAGCTAACATATAGTTATTAGATCTTATTAGCTTGTATATTTAAAATTCACTTGCTTTAAAGTAATGGGCTCTATTTGTGCTGTTAACACATATACAGTATAGACTTTCCCCACAGCCTGCAGTATAGTTATGTCCTACTAATGTCAGTTACATTGTGGCTTTGAATAGCAATAAATCAGGTCAGCATTTTCAGCCTTTGGCATTAATTTCAAAACACATTTCCAGTTAGAGGGGTATCTCCCATATTAAAATACATACTGGTTTAGCTTAGAGGGGGTAGCTAGATGCATGCCACTAAATACCTGGGAATAGTCTTTTAAAGTCAGACTGTTTATTAGCATTAGCAGATATAGTAGCACATGTCAAAGAAACAATGATTCTTTCTACTGTGATAAGACAATCGATAGTGCATTGCATTAATATATTTCCACACTGTGTTGTCTATTTCTAGAGTAGCTTGTATTGCTTTAAGCAGCTGTATACCTTTGGTAACACATAAAGACATTTTTGATAGATAAATTATGAGTATTTTTAACAAATATAATGACTGAGTAACATAAGTTATAACAAGACAAATATTAATAGCTGATGATTGTTGTCCACAGTTTGGGTAAAGTATGTTCAGACTTTGGCCTTCCTCTTGTGCAGGCGGTAGAGATTTCTCACTCTCTGACGAATTTTACGGTTGCTGGCGGATAGAAACACAAACAGTTGTAGATAGCAGAGCACTGAATGGCTTCTGATTATGTATGATGTATTTTATGTATTTCTGTTATGAAGGTTCCGGATCGGAGCCCCGGCCGACCCGGAACTTTTCATGTTCTCTCTGTGCCTGCGTGGGTTTTCTCTGGGTACTCCAGCTACTTCCCACAGTCCAAAGACATGCAGCTTAGGTTGATTGGCAACTCTAAATTGCAAGTAGGAGTGTGTGAGTGTGTATGGTTGTTTGCCTGCATGTCAGCCCTGTGATATACTGGTGACCTGTCCAGGGTGGAAATTAAAAAAGGATTTTGTTATTGTAAACTTGCTGCATTTTGAATATGGGGCTTTATAGTGTATCTGCAGAAATAACCACACTACAACAACAACACTGGCTTTTCTGCCTAAGCTTAACTGGCCTGTAGATAGACCCTTATGTTTAAAGGCAAACATCACTCAAACCTTAGTGTTTTCTTCTGTTCCATTATAATTATTTCCCACCAACACCAGATAGTAATCAACCCCTCAGGAAGCTCTTTCTACAGTTACAGTTGCTATTACTGTCAGTCGTTTTGTTCTCATGTATCACTTACTGTATCAGTGGTAATCATGGTTGATTTACTGCATGAAATTCTTAACTCTTTTTGAAACTGACAAAACAATCCTCTCATTTCTGGTTTTGCCAGTTGAAATAACAAGTATCATGAGAAGAGTGTAGCAGCTGCATTATGCATGACTATGCTTTAGTTAAACTACAGTTTTGTTGGGGAGTGGGAGACCTGAAATGGGAAGTGGCGCTAAGGGCTCCAAGAAGTCCCAACAAGCTTTGTTGATTTTGTGCATTATTAATCAGCTGTGTGTGTCCATGTTACCAATAATATGTAAGAAATTTCCGCATCCTGACAGGTGTCGGGTCTACACACACTTGACGGTGTTTCAGCTTTAGTATGCTTGAAGAAAAACAAACAAAAAGAAACATGTCAAAATGATACTGGTACTTCTTGAACACAGCATTGTACAGTAGCTGAATAAACCTTTGTGAAGTTAGGCCTACATTGCACTACCTGCAGTAATTTTTACAGTGCCTTGCGAAAGTATTCGGCCCCCTTGAACTTTGCGACCTTTTGCCACATTTCAGGCTTCAAACATAAAGATATAAAACTGTAATTTTTTGTGAAGAATCAACAACAAGTGGGACACAATCATGAAGTGGAATGAAATTTATTGGATATTTCAAACTTTTTTAACAAATAAAAAACTGAATAATTGGGCGTGCAAAATTATTCAGCCCCTTTACTTTCAGTGCAGCAAACTCTCTCCAGAAGTTCAGTGAGGATCTCTGAATGATCCAATGTTGACCTAAATGACTAATGATGATAAATAGAATCCACCTGTGTGTAATCAAGTCTCCGTATAAATGCACCTGCACTGTGATAGTCTCAGAGGTCTGTTTAAAGCGCAGAGAGCATCATGAAGAACAAGGAACACACCAGGCAGGTCCGAGATACTGTTGTGGAGAAGTTTAAAGCCGGATTTGGATACAAAAAGATTTCCCAAGCTTTAAACATCCCAAGGAGCACTGTGCAAGCGATAATATTGAAATGGAAGGAGTATCAGACCACTGCAAATCTACCAAGACCTGGCCGTCCCTCTAAACTTTCAGCTCATACAAGGAGAAGACTGATCAGAGATGCAGCCAAGAGGCCCATGATCACTCTGGATGAACTGCAGAGATCTACAGCTGAGGTGGGAGACTCTGTCCATAGGACAACAATCAGTCGTATACTGCACAAATCTGGCCTTTATGGAAGAGTGGCAAGAAGAAAGCCATTTCTTAAAGATATCCATAAAAAGTGTCGTTTAAAGTTTGCCACAAGCCACCTGGGAGACACACCAAACATGTGGAAGAAGGTGCTCTGGTCAGATGAAACCAAAATCGAACTTTTTGGCAACAATGCAAAACGTTATGTTTGGCGTAAAAGC